TCCAGGCAGAAGAGTTATGCGGATCGGGAGGCTCGTGCTATTGCATTCATGGTTGGAGAGCGGGTCTTGCTCCGGGTTTCGCCCATGAAAGGTTTCATAAGGTTCGGGAAGAAAAGTAAGCTGAGCCCGAAGTTTATTGGCCCATTCGAGGTGTTGCGACGAGTTTGGGAGGTTGTTTATGATCTTGCCTTGCCTCCCAGTCTATCATGTGTTGGATTCAACTCAGTCCAGTTGGACAATGATCTATCCCATGTTGAGGAGCTGGTGGCTATTTTGGACAGGCAGGTTCGAAAGTTGAGGTCAAAGCACATTGCTTCAGTGAAGGTTCACTGGAGGGGTCAGCTGATCGAGGAAGCGACTTGGGAGACCGAGCATGATATGCGCAACCGTTATCCTCATCCTTTCACAACTTCAGGTATGTCTCTATACTCGTTCGAGGACGAACGATTGTTTTAAGATGGTGAGAATGTAATGACACGGACGGTCATTTTGAGAGTAATAGCCTCGATCCCCTATTTACTGCTTTCCCCATATTTTTTTCTGCTTATGTGACTTGCCGGGAGGTATTGTTTGTGGTTTCAGAGTGATTTAGGACACTTAGTCTCTAAAACGGAAGCTTATGTTCTAGGATTTTGACCGTAGTCGGAACTGTGTGAAGACGACTCCGGAATGGAGTTTCGTCAGTTCCCTTAGCTCCGTTGGGTGATCTAGGACTTAGGACCGTGTCCGGATTGTGAATTGGAGGTCTATAGCTGAATTAGGCATGAAATGGCGAAAAGTTGAATTTTTCGGAAGTTTGAGCGGGAGTGGACTTTTTGATATCAGGGTCGGATTCCGATTCCGGAAGTTGGAGTAGGTCCGTGATGTCGAATATGACTTGTGTGCAAAATTTGAGGTCAATCGGACGTGATTTGAGATGTTTCGGCATCGGTTGTAGAAGTTTGAAGCTTCACAGTTCATTAAGTTTGGATTGCAGTGTGATTCGTGTTTTTGTTGTTGTTTGATGTGATTTGAGGGCTCGACTAAGTTCGTATGACGTTTTGAGACTTGTTGGTATGTTTGGTTGAGGTCCCGGGAGCCTCGGGTGGATTCCGGATTGTTAACGGACTAGTTTTGGACTTATAGGACTTGCAGAAAAATCTGGTGTTCAGTTGCTGGTTTCCTTCTTCGCGTTCACGAGGGAAGTAGCGCGTTCGCGAAGGGGAGCTGAAGGCAAGAGAGGTTTTGTGCTTCGCGTTCGCGATGAAGGTCCCGTGTTCGTGAAGCTCTGAGGTAATAAGTCTACGCGGTCGCGATGAGGGCCCCGCGTTCGCGTAGAGAAGCTGGTCAACTGAGTCTCCAGGCAATTTGCCTACGCGTTCGTGTTGATGGTCCTGCATTCGTGTAGGGTCGAGCTAGGTAAGCATCGCATTCTCGATTAGGCCATCGCATTCGCGATGTAGAATTTTGAGCTGAAGCAATTTTGTGCTTCGCGAACGCGAGGGTTCTTCTGCGTTCACGAAGAAGGGATCACTAAGCAGTTATAAACATTTCAAAAATGAGGGTTTAGCCATTTTTATCAAAACTTGAGATAGAGAGATCGGATTTGGACGAAATTTTGAGGGATTTTCAGCGGCATCAATTGGGTAATGATTCTTAACTCATTTATGGTTATATTCCACTAATCTATAGTTGATTTCATCAATAAATAAGGATTTGGGTTGAGAAATTTGGGGGGAAAGTTGGAAAGTTCTTCAACCAAATTTCTGAGTTTTGATTGGGATTTTGGCATCGTATTTGAGTAATTTTGGTACAAGTGAACTCGTGGTTGAATGGGTGTTTGTATTTTGTGACTTTTACCCGATTCTGAGACGTGGTCCCGGGTCGACTTTTTTGGGAGAATTTCTAATTTCTTGTTAAAGTCTTGATTTCATTAATTAGATTAGTTTCTTATAGTTATATTTATGGTATGTAATTGCTTTTGGCTAGATTTGGGCCATTCGGAGTCGGAAATCGTGGAAAAGTCATTCTTACTGATTGATTGAGCTTGGTTCGAGGTAAGTGGCTTGCCTAACCTTGTGGGGGGAGAGGGGAATCCCCTTAGGATTTGATACTGTTGTGATACTTCTGTAATATGTGAGCGTGGTGTACGCGAGGTGACGAGTGGGTACACAGGCTAATTGTTGTGATCCGGTTTTTACTGAGTAGTAACAAGTTACATCTTAATTGAGTTATGCCAGCATGTGTAGTTATTCTGTTTTATCCTAATATCGCATGTCTACGTGTCTTAAATCTGTGCAGCATGCTTAGTTGATTTCATGTTTTTCCTTGATTTGTATCAGTTTTAACTGTAGAATTCTTGCTGTTAATTGTTGTATTCGTCGGTTTCGAGCTGTGTGTTTATTTTTGGGACTACGAGGCGGTACCTCGGGAGATCCCCCTGCACATTTACTTTTGGGACTACGAGGCGGTACCTCGGGAGATCCCCCTGCACATTTACTTTTGAGAATACGAGGAGGTATCTCGGGAGATCTCCTTGCATATTTACTTTTGGGACTACGAGACGGTATCTCGGGAGATCCCCTGTAGTTTATCCCTATGTGTTGTGCTGCTATTTCTCTGTGGTTTTATCTTGTTAAATTTCCAGTCTCTTATTACATTGCTATTTTATTCTGCCTTATTTATTATATACCAGTAGGGCCTTGACCTGACCTTGTCACTACTCGACCGAGGTTAGGCTTGGCACTTACTGGGTACCGTTGTGGTGTACTCATGCTACTCTTCTGCACATGTTTTGTGTGCAGATCTAGGTACCTCCTATCAGCCCCTCTATTAGTTTATACTCGAGTGTTGGTTATTGTGCATGCCGAGCGGCAGTTTATCATTGTATAGTTATCAGTTGCAGTCTAGTTGTTGAATTCTGTTTTCATTTCTGTTATTCCGCAAATTGTTAGGCTTACCTAGTCGTAGAGACTAGGTGCCGTCACCACATCTTACGGAGGGAGATTTGGGTCGTGACAGTTTCACGTATTGATTTTGATACCAAACCAACATAAGTTTTAATCAAAAAATATTTACTTGCGGTAAATTTATTGTTATACATGTTTGTTAATCGAGGAAAGATTTGGAAAAAAAGGAAAGAAGATGTACGAAGACATGTAAGGACACAAAGATTTGTCCAAAATTAAGAAGACCTGAACGTGATAGAAAATCTCTACATCAAAGTCACAGGAGTCAAGAAAGGAAAGTTTCGATATATATTTTGGAATTTTAGAAGCAAGTTTTGGGAATGAAAGTTTGGATGCACGGAACAACGACAAAGAAAGAGAAGAGATCTCTTTAAAAAGAAAACTGAGATCTTTCCTAGATTGATTCCATTGAAGAAGAAACTAGGCGTGTGAAATAAATATATGGATTGATGTCTATGATACTTACTCCAGCCATCCAAAATTCAATGCGGGAATCTTCATTCAAGAAAAGCCAATATGGAATTAAGGTATTAATTTACTACACAATCAAAGGAAAAAATGTTTTCTATATTGAAGATATATTACCTTATGAGAGGAATATTGGACAGAAGATCGGTATTCCTCTAAAAAAAGGAAAAAGTTTGAAGTGGAAAGAAGGTTGGTACTACGCTCAAAATATAAAAAAATAAAAAGGAAATTCAAAAAAGATGGTTCGATGCTTAATAAGGAAAAGTATTAATAGAGGCTTAGTACTGCTATTAAGGAGGAATGTGATCTTGAAAGATTGTTGCTATACAACTGGATGCCATAATATAAGAAAGTATATAAGACAAATTTTGGAGACAATCAAGCAAGAAGACCAAGAAGCACATGCACGTGAACACAACCAGATTCAATGAAGATCAAGTCAAAATCCTTAGTATGGACAATCAGTACTATCCATTACATGCTTTCCACGAGTAGCTAAACTCTCTCACCAAATAGATATTGTTATGTAGCAATTTCAAGTCTCTTGGGTCTTGCACTAAATAGCAATGAGTACAACAGCAACAACAAAAAAGAATTGCGACAAATCAAGAAACCATATCAAGGAAGATTTACACCAAATATGGAGCAACGATTAGAATAATTCCAAGCAAGAGGAATAACTATTTAATAATTCCAAGCAAGAGGAATAACTATTTAAAGAGGATCTGAAGACACTTCTTAGCACTAGCTTCGCAGACAATTTTCCTACTCTTTCTACATTTTAGTCAAGCACTGTATTCTTAAGTTTACAAATGTCATAAAAGATAGAGAGAAAGGGAAAAATACTGAAAGGTTGTGTCATTGTTTGTTTCTTTGGTGAGCGAGTGAAAACCAAAGTGTCGTTGTTAGTGAGCGAGTGAAAACCAATCTTATACATTGTTGGTGAGCATGTCAAAACCAACCCTTGTTCGTTGTTGGTGAGCGAGTGAAAACCAACCTTGTATTCGTTGGTGGTGATCGCTGAAAACCATAAAGGCTGTACTCAATTCAATTTACAAAGAGCTCTAAAAGACAACACTTGCAACCCAAGAGGACTGGATTAGGATACCATATTGTTCTGAACCAGTATAAAAATTTCTGGTGTCATTTACTTTATCGCTCTCATATTATATTTTGTGCCTTTACTGTTTGTTGTGATTTACACTTGTTTAAATCGAAAGGACTAACAGTTTTGTGCAGGCTGTCTTCGTATCAGTCGACTAAGTTTAAATATAGTCGACTAAATTTTTAATAAGAGTACAATTCACCCCTCCTGTTTTGTACTTTCAATTATTTCCAAGATTATAATATTTTGTCCTGTTCAAATCTGTTGACTAACTTAACCGGAAAAAAGGCTTGGTAAAAGATTTCTACTCAATTTTCTTTAACTATGGTTTACCATCTAAAATATAGAAAAAAGTGACAACAAAGAAGAATCTAACAAAAAAGGGAAATTCTTGAAAAGTAATACACAAGGACAATCAACATCTAAAACGATATTATCTTAGAGAAGTGACTATAAGATTTAATAGTGTTCACAAAACATATCGCTGTCAAACAAATTTTCATGTCATAAATGCTTTCAAAGAGCAATTATAGTATATGAGTTGCAGTAGATCGTAAAAGAACAAATAGAGATCGTACATTTTGATTTTTTAGCATTCTATGTATGTGTAAAAGTTCTTTCTTTCAGTAAGTATATAAAATCAAAGTTTGGAGCTTTTCAAGTGTGATCTATCTGGAATTTCCAAGTAGCCCCAGCGATCATCGTGGACCACTTCAGAAAACTGCATTACAGTCGCATCTTGTACTTGCTCCAACTTTGATGGTTCCCACTATATATATGTAGAAAAAAATAAGAACAGCACTTGACGTATATTTTTCAAAACAAAGTTATAAACTTTGATAATCTTTTTTTTTTTTTTTTTCAAAACAAAGTTATAAACTTTGATAATCTTTTTTTTTTAAAATCACATTAGCACGTTGTTGTAAAGTTAGATAAATATTGAAGATGCAGGACAAAAGGCGCAAATTTGTGATTGGGTTCGCTGAAAGTGCTGATTGGTTTTGCATGCATGCGTTCTATATATGCCTATGATTAATCATACCTTAAAGTTTTTGCCTTTGTCAAAAAAGATTGCTTTACCACCCTACAAGTTCAACCAAATCAGAAAGTGAAGATCAAATTAAAGACGTAAAATTTATATGATGTGAAGATTGCAACATATATACCTCATAGAAATCGTTGTAATTGAATGATCTTAGTACGATGCGACTACTAATATTAAATTCACGAGACAAACACTGTCGAAGTGATTGCTTCCGTCCTTCTCTAATCTGTAAAACAATAATTGTTAAACTTTTATAAAAAAAACCAACGTAACAGATGAATTGAATAGTCGACAGTTAATATTACAGATCGTAGAGAAATCTTAAGGCTTGTTGGTGAGGCAAACTTCATAGACTTTATTGCATTAGTGATCCACTTGTCATCCATTCTTGTTGCTTCTTTTTCCTACCAAAGGCAAGAGGTTAGAAGTAAATAAATATGTTTAGTTCACTCATATATAATAACGATATATATATATAAGAGAAAGATTTCATGAATAACTTACAAGTGCAGATAGTATATCTTCAACTGTGTCCTTGCCAAAGCAATGATTGATAACTTCAAGTCTATTTTGGTGATTCACAATGTCATACAAGAACAAATTAAATTAAGATTAAGAAAAAAATTATTGGAAATTGCTTCTTGCAGTTCACGAAGTTACATTGCATTCCATTCCTTTGGAAAATGACACAGTTTTTGTCTAATATTTGAAATCAGACATATCCATTTCTTCCTGAGCTAACCAACAAATAAAAATGTGCTAAACTCATAAATATAGCTAGAAAATATATCAATAGAAATAAATATTAGAAGAAAAGAGTATTACCTTTTCAAACTACTTCCTTCTTTCAACACTGGATTATGAACGAACTCTTTTATGATTCTTGAAACGTCCGACTCATGAGCAAACTCTAATGATTTGTTTGATGAGAATGCTTGACATAATGCATCTTCCATTGACTCTATATCCTACAAAAGGTTCAGTTGTGCTTTTAGAATATATGACCAATTAACGTGATGCTAAATGTTTTGCAGGAATGTTGGTGTACAAATACAACTACACGTAATGGACTGTTTTAATGATATTTGATTGAATATATGCTCTATTTCATGATTCTCATGATACATATGTGCACTAAGGCTAATGTATGCAAAGATTTAATACGTAAATACTAGTTAAGAGACTTATGCGTTTCTCCTTGCTAAAGGATCATCTAGCAATCACGATTTGAATTACTGGTCGTTAGGAATTCTCGCAGGACGGATAAAATTCCCTATTTCCACAGCCTAAAAACCCCTTTGATGAATGCAGAAAAAGCCTTCTTTTTCAACACCCATAGTGGTGCTTATATTGGCTAGTACTATAATTTTAGAAAGAAAACTAAGCTAATGGGTTACGGGCTAATTAACATTCTTTATGGGTCGACCCGAGCCAAAAGTAATTTCCCAACACTATGTGATACCAGTATTATATGATTTGACTATGCATATAAGATGATATAGGTTAATCGTATACGTGCGACTAGTTATGTGTTCTCCATACACTTGAAAATTGTATTGAAAACAAATTTTTTTTTGTTGATAATAGTAAAGTATTTTATGAATGATTTGTACCAAGAGGGTACTTTACAAAGACAATGTCGAGTTCACTGCATTAAATAAACATCATAGACTCCAAAGCCTTCCCGGAAAAGAAAAGACTAAAAAATAGATTTCTTGGCTACTTACTACACTAAATATATTGTGTTTGAAAATTGTTCAGCTGAGCACGTATTATGTTTTAATTATTAACAAACCAAAATTTATTGTGTTGAAGAGAATCAGGTTTCATGTTCTAGGTTGGTGTGCTACTAGACTGGTATCTGCAGACATGAAATATGAATGTCAAGATGTAATGACCTGGCGGGTCGTTTTGGAGTGAATTGGAACACTTAGTTCCATAGTTGGAAGCTTAAGTTGTAAGAATTGAGACCAAGGCTTGACTTTTGTGTAAATGATCGCGGATTCATGTTTTGAATGTTCCAATAGGTTTGTATGGTAATTTTGGACTTCGGCGTATGTGCAGATTTAGATTTGGAGGTTCCTTGGTTGATTTGCCCCTAAATGTTGAAAGATGGCAATTTGAAAGTTTGGAAGGTTCATAGATTTGACCGTGGATTGACTTTGAGCTTATCTAATTCAGATTTTGGTTCGGAAGTTGTAATAGGTTCCTTTTGTCATTTGGAACTTGTGTGAAAAATGTTGAAAGATGGCAATTTATTGTTAGGAATGCCTACTAGTGAATCCCTGATGACACGGATTTTACCAAGGCTTTCATGGAGTGATTCTTCCTAATTGCTTTAGAGACGAGTTGACTCAAGCATTCTAGAGACAATACATATGAAAAATATGATCGTGGATAAATATGATGTTTAAATATACTTAGGGCTATGCCCCTCATGGTTCATGATGAGAACATGAGGAATAAGAGGCTCATTCAGGGTTTGAGAGATCCATTATTTAGGGTCTTAAAACCTTTGATGTGAACTATGGCTTACACTAGATGCTAGACACTACTAGGAGGATTGAGGTGAGAAGATAGGAGAGAAGCGTGCCTCTCGAGAGGATAGCAAAAAGATAAAGACAATAGGATATAACATTTTGTTGAGGCACAAGTACTGGTTGGGCATCTAGGTCATACGAGAAGCAAAAAGACTCCATGGGTTCATCAGCGTCAATTGAGCAATCATCAGCTAGGTTCTTAACTTAAATAGGACTGTAGAGGTTATGTATAGTCTAGTCTGAGTCATTAATTAGAATGTGGATAGTCTACCCTCGCCGTTAATGTTTGACTATAATTCTATATTGTATGGTATTACGTGCCTCATATTTTGATGTAACAATAATAATTTGTGGGACATTTGAGCTTAATTAAGTTAGTTTTATGTGTAGGAATATTTGGACATGAAGTGGAGAGAAATTGCACAAAGTGGTACAAAAATGATAAAGTAGAGCACGAAAGGAACAAGGCCGCGAGGCAGCCATTCCTTAGCACCATAGACAGCGCGAGGCGATGCCAGACGCGGGAAGATGTCATGCCTACCGTGTGAGGCACCCTTAGACAAAGTCAGTTCAACACGCAAAGCACCAATGACCCTGTCCGAGCTGGTTTCTTCTCCTTTTCAGTTGGACTTGGCTACTTCGGCCTAGGCTTTATCCTACCCTATAAATACTCTCTAAACTCGTTTTTTAGGGGGTTGGACATATTTTCGAAGGCAACAAGGGTTATGGGACACGTGTGGGGCACGAAATCATAGCATTTGTTTTTCCTTTAACTAGTATTTATAGTTTTATGCTTCCAAACACTATTGTGATTATTCATATGACTATGAGTGACTAAATTTCCTTATTCTGGGATTATGGGAAGTTCTTGATTGCTGACGTTGAACGGTTATTTTAGTTACTCGATTATATCATATTAGTTTGTTCATTTAACCTTGCAACAGTAGCTCACTATCTACGAACCTATAGTTAAACTCGAAAGTGAAAACTTTAGATTGCATAAGGTATTAAATAGAGTAAGTTTTTGAACCCGGGCATCGGAAAATATATGCGCGATTAGGATAGATATATGCTAATAGCTTTACTTGATTATTGTTGCTGGAATTATGCATGCATTCTAGTTGACTATGATTCTAAGAACATATAGGTATTAGGTTGGTTTGAATAGGCGAGTAAAGTGTTACAAAAACCTTGTGACCAATATAAGCCCTGTTAATTAAAAAACCAGATATGTCAAGTAATTAATTTAACCGGAAAAACTCAACAGGATTGACATTAATCTCATAATATCGGAATGTCCCCATCTCATTGATCTTGCTCATAAGTTGTTTGTTTGCCTTGCTCGTATTCTTGTTTTCTTGTTTTACTATTTTTTTTTTTTTTGTAGTAGTAGTTATAGTTAATTAAAATCACAATCACTTCTCAAAAAATTATTTGAATGAATAATTCACAAATAGTTTAATTTAATTAATAGTTAATCATTAGTCTCTGTGAGAATACTACTCTACTCATCACTCAATTGCTTATCGACCACGTACTCGTACGTTTGGCCCTCGCAGCAACACCCCTTTTTAGGTGTGGCAGACCTTACTAAGGTCAATTCGACTTGAAACTAGAGTATGTTTCATCGTATAATATTATTTATCTAGATTTAAGCCATGAATAGATTAGTAGCCATGAATAGATTAGTAGACTACACAATCAGCTTCTACTACAAATCATCTTGCGAGGGATGTTTCTATTCTCAAGATAGAGATTGGGCAGAACAGGGCACATGCAGGACTGCTCAACAAAAGTTGTAGCCAAAAGCCAAGCTAAAGAGGCCTAAAATATTTTGAATAAAATTTTATTTATCTAGATTTTTGAAATGATTAATACATTTTTCTTTTTACTTTTTCCTGTGTAAATTTTAATATTTTATGAATATTCTTAAACCATCAAGCTAGCTATTAGAAATTCCGGGGCCCCAAGAATTTGGGGCCCTAAAGCCAATGCTTTATTATCTTTCGGGCATTTGCATCTATACCCGCTTTTTGGGTCACGTTTTAACTTGTACTCGTTTTGCAAAAAAAAATTGCAAGCGTACCCACTTTTTCGCGTAACTTTAGCATACGGGCCTGAAGTAGCAAAGGCAATCACACAAATTTCAGCATTCTAGTAGACGGGCCTGAAGTAGCAAAAATTGCTGAACTAAGTGTGCTGAAGTTTTTGTTTGTAATTGCTGAACTTCAGCATGTTTTAGATGAAGTTTTTCACGTAAACTTAGTGTTGGCTGAAGTTTTTGTTTGTAATTGCTGAACTTAAGCATTCTAGTAGCTGAAGTTTTGTTCTCTATTTGCTGAAGTTTTTGTTTGTAATTGCTGAACTTCAGCATGTTTTAGCTGAAGTTTTTCACGTAAACTTAGTGTTGGCTGAAGTTTTTGTTTGTAATTGCTGAACTTAAGCATTCTAGTAGCTGAAGTTTTGTTCTATATTTGCTGAACTTCAGCATGTTTTATGCTATCATGTAATTGATTTTTTGTACAGATAATAAGTTTATCATAAGTTGAATTAGTAACTTAAAAAACTAGATAAATGATTTAGCACAACAGGTTAAAATGCATTGATAATGTACAAAACTGAATCCAACAAGTTATCATCTTCTTTAGAACTTACTTTAGAAAGTTATTTATAATTTATTTTTAAATAATCTGATAAACATACTTATAGCAATCACCCACATGAACTGAAGTTTCATAGCAGCACTAACAGCAGCAGAAGAAATAAGAAGAAGAAGAAGAAGAAGAAGAAGAAAAAGAAAAAGAAGAAGAAAAACGATGGAGGAGAAAGGGGGCTGAAGTTGTTTAAAAAGTGGGTACAAGTTAAAATTTTTTTAAAAAATGGGTATAGGTTAAATAGGGGCGACCAAATAGGGTGCCCGTGCAATTTTTACATTAGCTTTGGCCTTAAGCCGATCCTGGGCACAAGAGGTCGAGGTTTTGGTCAGGTTGAACCCTATTTAGGGGTTGAGAATATTTTACTATGTCCATTTATAAGTAGCTTATTATAAAAAATTGGTCAATTCATAAAATATTACTAATATTAGCCAAATATTATCAATATTAGCCAATTAGCTATTTGTAGCAAAAAAAGGTCAATTTTTTTTTGAGTGGGTGTTATTAGAATAGATTGGATACATCTTAAGGAGCTTGAATCTCAATTTTGAGATGATTTAGTGGAGTTTTGAGGCGGTTTGAATTAAAAATCGAAGTAGAAGATGAACATGAAAAAAAAATAATAGGTGTATCACTTGTGTATCACGTATATATCATATTTGTATCAAATGTGTATCACATGTATATCCATATATACTTGCGTGTGAGATACATGCGTGATCCATGTTTGATACATGTGTTGCAGAAGAATTTTTTGAACTCGATTTTAACTACGAATTTTGATACCAAATCAGTCCAAATCACCTCCAATCTTCCTCAAATTTTGTATATTGACTCAAATCTCAACCATACCCATTGAAAAAAGTTCTTTTTTCTTAGATTTATGGAATCTTGTATATATATATATATATATACATATATATATTATTTTTGTATTTCATCACCCTATCTGCTACCTCATCCATGAAATTTCCTTTCCGTCTTTCATCTAATGTTGCTAATCACACTTAAAAATATGGAAGGAGATTTTTTTGTGTAATTCTTGGAGAGAAAGAACCTTATTTCTTTGGGTTTTAAATATTTCTATGTGTTTGGCTAGTTTTGGTAAGTCTATGATGAATGGCTAGAGGTTGGTAAGTTGAAACTCTTTTGAGACATTTCTATAAGATTCCCTGTTTTATCAACTAGCCCTAAATCAAAGGATAAGATTTTCAATAGCCCTAAGTCACACCTATATCTAGAATTCTTTTAAATTATGTCCAGTGTCAAGAATAATACGTATGACATGGAGCGGAAGAAATAAGACTTTCACAAAACAAACATAGAGTGCATCGAGAACTTTAAAGCCATGACGGTATAACTTTAAGATTATTTTAAGATATAATATCTCAAAGATCAATAGGATATATTTTAATTTAAGTTTGTTGAACAGAATTATAAAATTATATCATACCTTTGAGTAAACAAAATGAGTTGCAAGGCCACAGGCAAGCATTTCTGACCCATTTATTTTTGCCCCTGTTAGTCCCAAGTATTCTCCTGTTAACAATGAATCAAATAAAAATAAGATATCAATCATATATATAAACATAAACCATTCAAGTTCTTGGGATATGAGGGACTAAATTGTACACAATAGAAGTAGAGGGGAGTTGTTTAGAGTTGGTTAATATTAGTTAGTTAATAGTTGCTGTTTTGACAGCTATAAATTTGCTGTTAATTAGTTAGTGGAGTTAGGGGTATTAGCACTATATAATGCAGCCTTGTATTGATCGATAATGAATAGAAGAATACAATTATGATTTCTCTTCTTCCTCACTTCATTTACTCTGTTCTCTAGAGCTTGAATCGAACATGGTATCAGAGCAGGCACTGTAATTCGATCAATCTCCGGCGAGATCCAAGCTTTTTGAGCTCGATTTCTTAACAGCTATGGCGGAGAGTGAAGTCNTGTAGGGAGTTAAACGGCATCACAATTAAAGAACGATGTACAAATCCCTACCATAGAGCTAGCCATTTTCGCTATTTGCTAAGTTTGTCAACATGTTAAAAAAATGTTATTTTACTGACAGAGAAAGTGTTACCCCCAAACAAGAAGAAGTGGGGAGTATTATTTCTTTTTGGTTTTTGCTAAAAGAATTGGAAAGATAAATCTTTGACACTAAATTCTTGAAAGATCCATTAGCAGCAATTCAACCCAGGTTGTGGAATGTTTTAGTGGTAAACACTAATAGTTATATGTACCAATGTTTACTTCAAATTAAACGATTTAAGTTAATAGTTAAAAATTAAAGTAAAAATATACATTGCTCTTGGGATATGAGGGACCAAATTGTACACAATAGAAGTAGAGGGAAGTTGTTTAGAGTTAGTTAATAGTTGCTGTTTTGACAGCTGTACATTTGTTGTTAATAGTTAGTGGAGTTAGGGGTATTAGCACTATATAGTGTAGCCTTGTATTGATCGACAATCAACAGAAGAATACAATTCTGATTTCTCTTCTTCATCACTTCATTTCCTCTGTTCTCTAGAGCTTGAATCGAACATGGTATCAGAGTGGGCACTGTAATTCGATCAATCTCCGGCGAGATCCAAGCTTTCTGAGCTCGATTTCTTAACAGCTATGGCGGAGAGTGAAGTCAATTCTCTAGATCATAATCATCCATTGTTTCTGCAAGCTTCAGATGCACCGGGGTTAGTTTTAATTCCGCTCAAGCTCACAAGCCGAGAAAACTATGCGTTGTGGAGTAGAGCGATGAAATTGGCACTCCGGGGAAAGAGCAAGCAGGGATTTGTGGATGGATCATATGTGAAAAATATGTATAAAGGTGAATTGGCAGAACAATGTGAGAAATGTAATGCAATTGTTCTTTCATGGATTGGTAGTACTGTTTCTAATGAATTGATGCCTAGCATCGTATATGCATCGAATGCAAGAAAGGTTTGGGCTGATTTTTAGGAGAGATTTGATAGATCAAATCTAACTAGGATCTATCATCTATGGACTGCTATTGCAACTCTGAGACAGGGGACTGATTCAATTACTAGCTACTATTCTAAAATGAAAGATTTGTGAGATGAATTAGATATAATTGCACCTTTAGCATCATGTGATTGTGAAGAATCTAGGTCATCTATAGAGTTATTGAAAAACATACGACTACTGTAATTTCTCATGGGGTTGAATGAAAGCTATGGGAATATTAGGAGCAATATTTTAGCTAAGAGGCCGGTAATCACTGTGAATGAGGCTTATGCAACAGTCACAAAAGAGGAAATCCAAATAACCATGGGGGTTACAGACACATTGAAAGATCCACTCACAATGATGGCAGGAAAGAGTCATGAGTTCAGACAAAAGAGGCCAGGATTAGTTTGTGATTACTGTGGTTATAAAGGACACCTCAAGGAAAATTGTTACAAGATAATAGGGTACCCACCAGATTTCAAAAGCAAGAGGAAAGGCCAAAACTCACGAGGAAGGACCTATGTAAACAATGCAACCACCAGTGAGATGAAGCAGGAGGTTATGATGCCAACTCAAGGAAGTTTCTCTACTGAGGAACAGTATAAACAATTGGTAAATTTGTTGCAGAAAACAAAAACAAATGACTGTTCTACAAATACTACAGGTATTATTGCTTTAATAGCAAATGTAGCTACTAATGATCATGTTTGGATAGTTGACTCAGGTGCAACACATCATGTGACACATTGCAAGAATGCTCTAAGTAATCTTAAAAGAGTAGACAATAGAACAAATGGAGTACAATTACCAACCGGCAATAAGGCAGACATAACACATACATGAGATGCAGTAGTGTTAGGAGACAAAACTATTAAAGGAGTCCTATATGTGCCAGATTTTAAATTCAATCTATTATTAGTATCTAAACTTACTAAGCAATTGTGTTGCTCAGTAGGTTTTTACCCTAATTTCTGCATATTTCAGAGGCTCTACAATGGCAAGGTGATGGGGATTAGTAGAGAAAATGATGGATTGTACCTGATAAAAGAAAACCTACCAGTAACAGCAGCAAGCTTCTTAAAGGAATATGGAGATACAAGACTGTGACATTTGAGACTAGGCCATGCATCAGCAAATTTTATGGAACATATTTCAGCATTGAGGAATAAAATACACACTGGAGTGCAGGACAATTGTGAAGTATGTCCTTTGGCAAAGCAGTGTAGATTATAATTTCCTACTAGTAGTACTAGGTNTAATACTACATGTCCAGATGATGCGGAGGATCTTTTTGATTCTCAAAATTCATTGGATGTAGAAGAGATGCAACAATCACATCCAACTGTTATTCCATCTACATCTCAGAACATACAGCCACAGATTGATGACACTACTGCTACAGCAGGAGAAACCACAAATGATGCAAGAGTTCTAAACAATGTCATATCAGATGGAGAGCATGAGAGTGTAGCTCAAGTGAATGACAATTTTATTAATGACCAAGCAGCTGAGCCAACAGAAGCCCAGCAACATTCTTCAGAACCAACAGAATCTGAACAAGCAGTTGAGGCAACAGAAGTTCGGGAGCATTCTTTAGAACCAATAGAGAAAGCAAATGTACATCCTCAACATGCATCTGTAGATGTGGAAACTAGGAAGTCTGGTCGACAAGGAAAGCCTTCCATTTAGCTTAAGGATTACATCATACTGTTCAGACACACACTAACAATCCCTACTCAATTTCTAATGCCATCTCCTATGATAATCTATCTCCTACATATCAGTCCTATCTTAGTGTTTTTTCAGTCTTAACTGAGCCACAATCTTTCAAGGAAGCTGCACATGATCCAAGGTGGATAGAAGCTATAAACCAAAAGATTAAAACACTTGAAGAAAATCACACCTGGGAGGTGGTGGACTTGCCAGAAGGTAAGAAGCCAATTGGTTCTAAGTGGGTATTCAAAATCAAATACAAGTCAATTGGTGAGGTTGAGAGGTTCAAGGCACGACTGGTTGCTAAAGGATACACTCAACAAGAAGGGTTAGACTACCATGAGATATTTTCCCAAGTTGCAAAAATGGTAACTGTGAGAACTGTCCTTAGTATAGCAGCCTCAAAGGGGTGGATCCTATATCAAATGGATGTCAACAATGCATTCCTACAGGGTGATTTATATGAGGAAGTGTACATGCTCTTGGCACAAGGTTTCCAAAGCCAGGGGGATAATAAAGTCTGCAGACTAGTGAAATCACTCTGTGGCTTGAAACAGGCTTCGAGACAATGGAACATTAAGCTCACAGATGCCTTAATAGGAGCATGATACCAGCATAGTGCATATGATCACTCTTTGTTTACTAAGAAATCAGGACCGGACATTGTTATCATCTTGGTGTATGTGATGATCTTTTAATCACAAGTAGCAACATGTCCTTAGTAGAAGAGGCCAATAGTACTTTGCATACCAAATTCAAGGTCAAGGATTTAGGGGAACTTAGATATTTCTTGGGTATAGAAGTAACGAGATCAGATAAGGGCCTACTGCTAAACCAAAGAAAATATGCATTGGAGTTGATTTCTACCACAGGATTAGCTGCAGCTAAACCTGCTTCTACTCCTATTGAGACAAATCAGAAATTGACTACCACAGAGTATGACAAATATGTAGGACACAATGGAGATGAAGAATTGCAGGATATAGCAAGTTATCAGAGGTTTGTGGGAAAACTACTCTATTTGACCATCACACGTCCTGACATTTGTTTTGCTGTGCAAGTGCTAAATCAGTTCATGCAACATCCAAAGCAATCTCACATGGATGCTGCACTTAAAGTAGTTAGGTACATCAAGGGCTCACCTAGACTTGGTGTATTCCTAAAGAGGGGTCCTATCTCTCATCTCACTGCCTACTGTGATTCTGATTGGGCAGCATGCCCAAATACACGAAGATCAATTACTGGACATGTTATAAAACTGGGGGAGTCTTTGCTATCATGGAAGTCCAAGAAACAGCAGATAATAAGTCGTAGCTCAGCTGAAGCTGAGTATAGGAGTCTTGCAACAGTAGCAGCTGAAATCACTTGGCTAGTTGGGTTGTTAAAGGAATTGAATGTTGATTTACAGCAACCACTTGATCTCTACTGTGACAGCAAAACTGCTCTCCAAATTGCAGCAAATCCTATATTTCAAGAACGAGCTAAGCATATAGAAATTGATTGTCATTTTGTCCGGGAGAAGATCAAAAATGGACTGCTCATGCCTCATCATATCTCAACAAAGCTTCAGTTGGCAGACATCATGACAAAAGGACTTGGTGTTGCGCAACACTGTTTTCTTCTTTCCTAGCTAGGATTTTTCAACGTATTTCACTCTCCAGCTTGAGGGGGAGTCTTGGAATATGAGGGACCAAATTGTACACAATAGAAGTAGAGGGGAGTTGTTTAGAGTTGGTTAATATTAGTTAGTTAATAGTTGTTGTTTTGACAGCTGTAAATTTGCTGTTAATTAGTTAGTGGAGTTAGAGGTATTAGCACTATATAGTGCAGCCTTGTGTTGATCGACAATGAATAGAAGAATACAATTCTGATTTCTCTTCTTCCTCACTTCATTTTCTCTGTTCTCTAGAGCTTGAATCGAACACAAGTGTTAGCTATTATTTTCTTATTAATGTGTAGAATTTCATAATTTATGACAAACCCCAAAACAAAGAATGTAAAACTAATAGCAGACATATTAAAAAGAAATAATAAATAAATATTCCTAAAAGCAATATATTTTAAATGATGAGCCCATAAGTTTTTTTGTTGATTTTGAGATTCATGTTGGGACATATGGTACGTAGTATATGATGTTATATTCAGTACAATAATTTAATGTGCTTGTGGCAATTTATGAAACTGTACTCAAGTGACGTCGAAGACATGATCATGCATGCATACATGTTATGTGATTGTATAAATTTGTTAGTGACATTATTATATAACCTAAAGCTATTTAGAGGTCTTAATGGAAGATATTTTAAATTTAGGCTGACAAGATATAACCATAAAGGCAGAATAGCCTAGGAGACACTTGTACTTGTTCCGGTTTGTCATCTCGGTCCCTACACTCCAGAAAGTTTCATCTAGACACTTCAACTTAATCAAAACAAGACTTTTAAACCCTTCGGAATCGCGTGAAGCTCACTTGCTTGACGTGGATGACAAATCAGCATCCACATCAGATTCTATGCCGAAATAATATTATTTAACAAAATTTTAATTTCTTAAACAAAAAATAAAATAAAATAAAGCAAAAAATTAAAATTAAAGAAAACCCTCCTCCCTTCTTCAAACCCACCCACTCAACCTTCTTAAAATAATAACCCACCTGTCATGGCTTCTCCATCATGAGTACCACTATTTCCTTCACTCCTCTTTTAAAGAGAGTTAGCTATCCATGAAAAATACATGAGCAGAGAATTAAGTCTTTTAGAATTTTGACTTTATTCCTCTACCCCAATTTGAAAGGACTGTGAAAAATTTGAAAGCTAAAACCATCGGGAAAAATGGAGGAAGGGACTGAAGAAGAAGAGGAGGGGGGGAGAGCGAAGGGGGAAGGGATTGAAGGAGGGGGGGGGGGGGGGGGTAGCAGAACGAAGGGGCTCGGTAGGGGCTGAAGAAGAAAAATAATATTTATTTATTTATTCATTTATTTATTTTATTTTTTTAATAAAGAAAAATCATCAGCTCACGCACTTAATGTGCGTGTAAATCACTTATTTTGTCCACCTCAGCCATATCAATGTCACATAAGTCCGGTCAACGGTCAGAAGGGTTTAAAAGTCTTATTTTGATTAAGTTGAAGTGTCTAGATGAAACTTTATGAAGTGTAGGGATCGGGATGATAAACCGGAACAAGTACAAATGTCTCCCAGACTATTCTGCCTAACCATAAACAATGAAATCTTGTTTACTTTACCAAAATGGCCAGGTAATCTTGAAAGAAAATAAGATGCTCCTACATCCGGATGATGTCCAAATGATGCTTCTGGCATGGCAAACACCTAATTATCCATAAATAAATGAAACTATTATGATATACTGTCCAAAATCTACTAAAAGTAAACATATCAAACATTTTTTATTTTTTTTGTAAACATATCTAACATTGGAATTAATAAGCTACAAATCGTTAAAAAAACGAATAAACATTAGATAAGAAACCATCCAAGAAAACAATAAAGGAAAATGCTCACGCATACTATTATGATGACTAGTTTGAAATTGAAAGAGCCTTCTATAAGGCACATGTATAACGACTAGAGAGAAGAACTAAATGGACTTGCAAAACAGAGCGTAAACAACAATACAAAAAATTATTATTATTATTATTATTATTATTATTATTATTATTATTATTATCCCTCTGTAATGAAACGTTATGAACAAGAATTTTTTGGGACAAATTTCACCAGATATATCCTCCTTATGATACATACTTAATATCGAGGCTCCTAGCAATGCGGGGAAAGGACTCCTAGTCGAACAAAAGATAATGAAGAACAATAGCAGATTTTGATATTCAGTTACCAAGTTAAAAGGCTATACTTATTTAATACTAAAATGTATAAAAGTGGTTAATTATATATCAACTTGTAATTAAGTTAAAATTTTAATAATGAGGGTAAATAAGTTTCAAAAGTAGTATAGCTAAGTAAAAATTTAAGAAGGCCATTCTAATGCCTCAATACAGGGGCGAAGCTATGTTCCTTCGCCGAAAAATTATACTACATATAAGGTAAAATATTACTTGTTATTGATTAAAAATAGATTTTGAACATCCTTGCATAGCCCACTAACAAAGTGTATTCAAAATTTAAACACCTTTATTAAATTTTCTGGTTTCGCACTGCCTCGATAGTCGTCTTTCTAACAAACTTTGCATGTATCCTACATACTTGATACTTGATAGTACGGCAGATGCTCTTAATATTTGGCTAAAAACATATAACCAAGTATTTTTAAGGCTATAAAGAAAATTAGTTGTACGTCTTCGAAACGCACCGTATTTTCGGTGACGATTCGGAATTTTGCGTTCATGGATAGTCCAGCACCTCCTCCCATAACGGCTCCATTGATGAGGATAACCTTCATATTTAATATGTATCATGATGCAAATAATTAGCGCAAAATAAAATAAAAAGTGACACCTTTATTTTTAAATTTTCTATGATACTAATAAAGCTTAATCACCACTGGTTTTTGGTATGTTGCCACCAAATAATCCAATGTTAGCTGCGTTCTGTAAAAGTCCAGAACAGAACGGTAGTCACCTGACAAATGAGGAAAGAGAAGAAACACAGAATTTTAGTAGGAAATTAATTCTTTATGCTTGAAAAATAAAGTTACTTGTACGTTTAATGTTAAAAATGGGAATTTCTTGTACCTCTATTGCAATTTAATAAAATTAAATGACCTTTCACTAGACAAATATATTAACAGAATGTTTCATAGACCTCCCTCTAAATTTGTTGACACCAACTTGCTTTTGGTTTGAGTCGTGCACTCACCTCCCTTATTATCCCTAATGTCCATATTTCTATAAAAATCTTCACGCTAGTGATAGTAGATGCTGAGAACTTATAAAAATGTTTTCTTAACCGTGGATATTTCTTATAAAAAGAATTCGAAATCTTGATGAGTGGAGTTACTAGATATCTTTAATGGTGGAAACTAGAAGGTAACCGAGTGAAGGGCCAAATACGTACAAGACGGTCCATAAAACTATTATTATTACATAACAAAAAAGAAAAGAAATCATAAATATATACGATTTTATTAAATAAATAATTGGGGCTCATCTTAATGTTCGGCTTTAGGCCACCAATTTCATTGAGCCGCCCCTGATTCGAAGGAGGGGTATTTGTTGATTCAAAAAATCAAATATTAAATTCAAGATATTTAAAACATAAAAATTGACGTATTTTTTATGAGATGCTTATTAGATCGAAAAATATTTTTCTAAGATTCAAGAAACTAAAATGTAGAAATGAAAACATATTTTTCACAGAATTAGGGAGGAGGATATATACATATTAAATTAGATTAGAGTAAATATCTCTGGCATTTATCAAACCAGAGTGAAGGTTTATTTAAGTAAAAGAAATGATCAACACACCAAATAAAAGAATTAAAAGAGAACTTTATGTTATTACCTCTTAGCAGTGATTGTATCACTCGAACAACGTCTCCTCCAGCACAAAATGCTTTTCCTTTTCCCTACATTGAAATCAAATCACAAATAAAGCTGCGATTTAGTATCAGAAAGGAGGAGAAGTGGTATATATGTATATATATCCTTAGAAAAAGAGCATTGCCTCTTGGAGTTGTAAGAAAAAGAGTGAACAGTAAATAGAAATCAGCATGTTTGATTGTTATTTACCTTTACTATTACAAGTTTAACTTGTGGATCTTGTTCATACTCTTTGAAAGTTCGTAACAATTGAGAAATCTGCAGAATTCAAAAGAAGAAAACAGAATTTGTAGTATGTCGTATCGTTCAACTACATTCACAAGACTTTAACAACTATTATCGCTACTAATGAAAAATGCTGCGAAAACAAACTTACAGAGTAATTAAATTCAATTACCAATGTCATTTTCCTACTAAATAAAAATAAATAGTTTTTAATCAAAAAGGTGTCTAGTCCATTCAAATATTGCAAGAAGAGCATATAGATTAATTTGATAAAAAAACGTTAAGTATAAAATAAAAAGAACTTGGGTTTTGAATTTTTTTGCAAAGATAGAGGTACCGAGGGGTTGGCCGATAGTAAAATATGATTAATGTATCATATAGGAGAGTAATTAGGACGGTAAATTGCAATACCTTTACGTAAACTGTTTTTCTATTTTGAATTGGAAAAGTACGTAAGTACAAGAAACGTAAACCAAAAAAAGCTATTCTTTTCCGTATCTCCTTTTTCTTGCGCGTATAATAATTTCTTCTTGTTTTCTCTCTTTCTACAAAAATAAAATATAATAAAGCAGAATAATGATTAGTAGACGCTCAAACATACCATCTCGAAAGTCAAACAATTCAATTGTCTTGGTCTATTTAGAATGACTTTGCGCACGCAAGACGTAGCTTCAAACACCACCTGGGGGAAGCAAAGGAAAAGTATCTCTAATAATTAACGAAAATTAATTGAATGAATTATAGGCAAATGTAATGTTATAATGCCAGATTAATCATGTGACTGCCTTAACGTCGTACAATGCTTTATTAAGCTTACTTCATTTCTTTGAAAGGAAGAAAACCGCACTGATAAATAAAACGACTAACGCTACTTTCTTGATTTTAATAAATAACACTTTTGAATTAATTTAACAAATTCAAACCATCAACCCATACGTATAATTAGGGGCGAATCTGCATTGGATCAAGGGGGTTCAATTGAACCCGCTTCGTCAGAAAAATTTATTATTTATATCAATGTTGTTATAAAGAGGTCTGAATATACAAGAGCGGAGCTACAATATTTAATTATCATTTAGAATACTTTTCCAATTCGAATAAATATTTTAGATTCTCAAATATAAGTGCCAATTATCATTTAGCTAGCATACTTATTCAATTTGAGTATATATATTTAACTTCTAAAAAAAAAAAAAACTACTACTCCCTCCGTTTCAATTTATGTGAACCCATTTGACTGAGCACGGAGTTTAAGAAAAGAGAGAAGACTTTTGAACTTGTGGTGTAAAATGAGGCACATATGATTTGTGTGACTATAAATCATTGCATAAGGGTAAATTGTTTCCAAATAAGGAATGGGGTCATTGTTTTTGGTACAGACTAAAAAGGAAATAGGTTCACATAAATTGAAACGGAGGGAGTATTATTTTATTTCTTATAATGGTTCTTAGTTTAAGCATCTTAAATAGGAAAAATATGAAATTTTATGTTGTTTTTATAATTTTATCTCTCAAAGTAAGCAAATGAGACCCGTAAATCTACTTGTCAATTACGCAATAAATAACCTCACATAAGTAAAATTAGGCATGTGAATAAAATTTCACGAGAGAGTAAGGCTCCGTTTAGACGTAGATTCTCAAATATTTTTTTGAAAATGTTAATTTTGGTGAAGTTTGATGTGAAATTAAAAATATGTTTGGACATGAATTTTGGGGCGAGTTTTGACATGTTAAAGAGTCTATTTTTTTACTTAATTTTTTCAACTAAAAAGTCCGAAATGGACGTGATTTGGCCCAAAAAAGGTCTGAATCTGTATTTGGGATTTGAAGTTTTAGTTTTCAAAATTTTCCAAAAACTAGATTAATTCTATAAATAAATATATATTTAAATATTTTTTTTTTTTAAAAAAAAAGAACTTTCAAAACATATGGCCAAATGCCTACTAAGAGAAAGTAAAGCGTCTTACGTTTGAATTTGTTTGATCTAAAGTACAGTTGGCAATAAATTTGCTCCCTTTTCGTCTGCAATTAATGAGATTGTACTTAAAAGGAGGAAATTCTTTGTTTTTCCTTTAGGCCTCTTAAAAGTTGTTTGATACTTTCACTGACGTTTGAGCTACCTAGTATTTGTGCATTACTCAAGATCTATTTCAATCAAATACTGTTTTCTCAATCTTGACGCAAAGGGTCAGAGTGTGATGCTAAATGCCTATTACAAAGTGATATGAGCCAATTAATATATAACACGTGTATTTATTTTATTTTCTCAGAAGAAAAGCTTTTTTTAAAAATCATCTTTTTTTAGGTCAAATATCTAAAAGTTGGCAAAATTTTTAAGTAGGGTGTTCGTGGTTCGGTTTGGATCGATTTTTGGGAGAAATTAAAAAATAGCCAGATTTACCACTGGTCGTTGAAAAATAGCCAAGTTTCAAAAGTCATCGAAATTTAGCCACTTTAAATCTGAGCGAAAACACTGTTCAAAATCCGGAAAAATACGCCCGCAAATTTTACGGGTTGTTCCAGCATAAGTATGCTTGAACTCCCGTAAATTTTACGGGAGTTCCAGGATAACTATGTTGGAACTCCCGCAAATTTTACGGGAGTTCAAGCATAATTATGCTGGAACTCCCGCAAATTTTACGGGAGTTCCAGCAAGTATAATTGTCCAGTATAATATACTGGAGTTTGGAGCACTGGTGCTCCAGTCTCCCGCAAATTTTACAGGAGTTAGCAAAGTATACCGGTCCAGCATAATATGCTGGAGTTCGTACACAAATGCACCAGAACTCCCGTATATTATACTGGACCGGTCCCTGTTGCAGCAAAATAGTGGCTATTTTTCATTGACTTGATAAACGCTGGCTATTTTTCATTGACCAGTGTGAAAACTGGCTATACCATGATATTTTACCTCGATTTTTCTCTAAAAAGAAATCAAATCAAGTAAGTCGGTTTTTCAAATATTAGAACCAAACCAAATCAATTAAGTCGATTTTTTCTCGATTCGGTTTATGTTGGGGTTTTCGGGTTTTTCGGTTATTTGTCGGTTTTTTCTTAAATATAAGACATACACTACCAAACACATATTCCGGCGACCACATTTTCAACGTAACACTATCAAATCAATTGACCTTTCAGAAATCTATTATTTACTAAAATATATTGATGATAATTGAATCAAATAGTGATGAATAATGTAAGGACTCAATTAAAAATATATTTTTTATAACATGAAAATATGGATTCTTATACTTAACAAAAGAAAACTACCAATCAAACTAGAATATAAAGGTAAAAAACTGTACTAAAAGTGCAAACGATTAACATTCACCATAAAAAATTTGAAACTTTGTATAAAAATATACATATATATAGGTGTAATAATAAATTTGAAATAGTTACTCCTATAGCCGGTTTGGTTCAATTTTTTTCGGTTATTTTTTGATTAAAACCAAACCAAATTTGATCGGTTTTTAAAATCCAAAACCAAAACCAAACCAAACCAAACCAAAAAGTATCGATTTTTTTGGTCGGTTTGGTTTGGTTTTCAGTTTGATTTGGCTTTTCGGGTTTTTATGAACAACCCTACTTATAAGTTAGATATTCCAACTTAACTAGTCTGATATTGTGAAGTGTTTTTCATTCAAATTTGAGAACGAAAATAACTTAAAATTGTGTATTTCTTTTTTCAAAAATTAACATCACTCAATAGACCCTACTTTTCACACCCTCGTCTTCTTCAACTTTCCACCATCCTAAGAAATACCATTGTTTGGCTGTTGAAAACTAATTGCCCTTAAATCTAATTTTTTCCAATTCAAATATTCACCGTTAGAATTCTCCTATGTTTGAGCAGCGGTATCGGGGCAACGATTTATGACAAGAATTAGGGTGCGTTTGGTACGAAGGAAAATATTTTTTGAAAAATATTTTTCAATTTTTTCATGTTTGGTTTGCTTAAATATTTTGGAAAATATTTTCCTCATGAGCTCATTTTCTTCCAATTGAAGGAAGAAGAGAAAACATTTTTCAAAACTCTTCTTCAACCTTTCCCACCCTATTCCTCATCCCCACCAACCCGCCACTCCTTATCCCACCCCACCCCTACCCCACCCATCTCCACCACACCCACCCCAACCCTGCACTACCCCCACCATAAATAGAAATATTATTAAGAATATTTTCTTTTCATGTTATAAATAGAGTACTTTCTTTTTTCATTTCAACAAAATGAGTTTTTTTTATTATATAAAAAAAATATTTTGTTTCATTTCAACAAAAAAAGCACTTTCTTTTCATGATGTAGAAAGTAGAATAAAAAGTTATTTTAAAAAAAAAATATTTTTTACTCTCTAAACAAATACTAAAAAATATTTTCCGGAAAAAGTTTTTCGCTCACCAACCAAACATGAGAAAAAAAATGATAAAATCAAGCATTTTCTAGAAAAATATTTTTCATAAAAAATATTTTCCTTCGTACCAAACACACCCTTAAAGATGTTCATTTGACACTTCTTTGCCAAGGATTTTAGCAATACGAACAACAGTATCCAGTAAATAATTAGGATTGTCACTTTATGGAGCTGTCGAGCAAGAGCTTTAGTTGTTTCATGTCTGTGTAATTGGACAAATTTCTTTTTTCCGAATAACATACTTAAAAGCAGTACATGTTTTAGGTTAAAATATCATGGTATAGCCAGTTTTCACACTGGTCAATAAAAAATAGTCAACGTTTATCAAGTCAATGAAAAATAGCCACTATTTTGCTGCAACAGGGATCGGTCCAATATAATATACGGGAGTTCTGGTGCATTTGTGTACGAACTCCAGCATATTATGCTGGACCGATATACTTTGCTAACTCCTGTAAAATTTGCGGGAGACTGGAGCACCAGTGCTCCAAACTCCAGTATATTATACTGGACAATTATACTTGCTGGAACTCCCGTAAAATTTGCGGGAGTTCCAGCATAATTAAGCTTGAACTCCCGTAAAATTTGCGGGAGTTCCAGCATAGTTATCCTGGAACTCCGTAAAATTTGCGGGCGTATTTTTCCGGATTTTGAACAGTGTTTTCGCTCAGATTTAAAGTGGCTAAATTTCGATGACTTTTGAAACTTAGCTATTTTTCAACGACCAGTGGTAAATCTGGCTATTTTTGAATTTCTCCCTGTGTAAGTGCAATTTTCGGGTTGTGTCGTTTTCAAGTGTATTCAGGTGAATAACCCTCTTTTAAAGTTAATTAAATGTTTCCTTTTTATTTTGTTACATTTGTTATTTTTCGATGGTTAATTTGACACCTCAGTAGCAAGTGTATCTCAAGAGGCTATCTCGATGTAATCTTACCGGCCGTTATTACACTATTTTTTTAATAAAAAGTTACTCTCTCCGCTTTATTTATGTGACAGTGACACACTGTCCTAACAATAATGATAAATTTTTATATTTAAAAATAATATAATTTTAAACTCTTTTGTTTACCCATTTTACTCTGAAGGCCCCACAAAAACTTTTTTATTTTAAGCTTTTAGACCACAAATTTTATAAGTCATTCTTTTCTTAATCTTTATATTGAATCAAACTACATCACACAACTGAAACACAGATGGAGTTCATGCTTGTGTTAAATGAAAAATCTTTATAGTTTAATCGTATAGAAAAGTTATACTCTTGTACTGCTAGCACACCTACTACTTGTAATGAGATACAATATCTAATATAATTTCGTACTTTACCACAAGAAAGAAAATTAGACTCACACAAACAAGATTAAATTTTACCTTACTTGCTCAACATTTTAGCGTAGGGAAACAATGCCCTCATCACCTTTTGAATGGGAAAGAAAACTCCCTTGACCCAAAAGTTAACAAAAAATTGAAAAAATCCTTAAAAAGTCGTTAATATTAATCCTTGTTTGTAGAGTAAATTCTAATGATAATAATAATATGATTAATAGTATTTTTTTATTCAAAGAAAAACACCTTTCAGAATGCAAATTATTAGGCTAACAATTATTGTCTGTGCGCAATTAATGAGATGATACTTTTTCATTCTATATATATAGGTTGATGCTTCATATCATATATCCGTTGATACTGGATGTTATGTACATGGGATGTACTTTAATTTTATTTTATTTTTGCAAGGTTCAACAACAAAGACTCGGATCCCAATTGCACAAGCAATCAACATCTTTTGGAGAAGTTATGTAGCAGTTGGACAGATAATTATTTTGTAAATTTCGGTGTTAAAGTTAAAGAATATTCTCAATGTAGAAAGTGTTAGTACTATTTTTTGTCCAATAAAATTAATGTGATCGAACAGTATATTTCTAAACAAACTGGAAATCAAGAAACTTTTAAACCAAAAATGTATACTCTAACGAAATGAACCTTCTTTTTTTTTTGGTTGATCAGGTACTAAGGAGATAGGAAAAAGGAGTTCATACCTGATTAACGTCACGATCGGACGAAACACTAGAGGCCATGTCTTAGTTATCTTGTTCTCTGAAAGCAGCTCAAAGGAAAGAAACAAAAGAAAAATCAAATCAAAGAAGAAAATAGCCATCACTAAAAACAAAAAAGACAACTAAAAGAACCATTTGAAGGCTTTTATCTTTATTTTTATGGGACGGAGGGATAAGAACGTGCCAGAAAGAGAAAGAAAATAGAGTAGTCTAAGAACCTGAAATGGCAGAGCTGAGGAGCAGAGAAAGATTGGCAGATGTAGTGCATGGGATATGTTGATATTTATTGGAGAAGCCAGCCACTCACTTATAATGCATTTATTGTGATCTGGAAAGTAGGTCTGGAGACAACAAAAGTGTAGATTTATGGCGTTTCGATTTGGTTCTACGAAAGTCGTTGAGAAATAAATTTTGATGGAGTTAAACTTTGCTGAGTATTGAATTTTTGATGATTAACAAAGTTTTTTTAGATGCAATACGAAGAGTCAGGTCCTCAACGTAGCTGCTTAACTGTTCTAAGAATTAGCTCCTCAGGATAAAGGACAAGCTCCTTAGGTTGATGATTGAACGTCTGTGCAAGACAATAACTTTATCTCAAAGTTATCCAGGTCCGAGTTTGGTGGAAGAAGATTGCTACATGTGATAAGGGTTGTTGCCCAAGAAGATACGAATAAATGAGTAAGAGACAAGAGTCCCAAAACTTGTAGAGTCCTTGGAATCAAACGAGAAGCTGACTATGCATAGGACTCCTAGAAGATCTTGAAGTCCAGGCGTTTAAATACTATCTATTTTGGACTTCCGAGATTATCCTTTCACACATCAACTGAAGAACTACAATTGTACGCTCTAGTCGAGTATCGGTGTTGTATTCTTCTTGAGTCAGTCTAGTGAATGTGTTTTAGGAAATTGGATTGTAATCAAAGTGTCACAAACAATTAGTGAGTTGGAGTGAGTGTTTGCTTTACAGGTTAGAGTAACTTGTAAATCAAATAGTCGTAGTAGGAAAACTGGAGAATATTGAATTACAGTCTTGTAATTGATACATTTTGGCTCATTGTTCTAGTGGAGTTGAAGTTGAAAATCTTACGCAGTAGGTCGTGGTTTTTGCACCTTTTGAGCCAGGAGATTTTTCACGTGAAAATTCGTTGTGTTTACTTTACTGCTTATTTTACTTCACGTTTAAGGAACACGGTAAAGAACCAAGTTCTTTAGTAATTCATATGGGCACTCAAACCAATAATTTGTATCAGAGCAAGTTCTCTCACACCCACGGCTAATACCTAGAGAGATCTTGGAAGCAAGATGAGTGCTCCACCCTGAATTAATGAAGGACAATCAACTACCAGACCACCCCTGTTTAATGAAAAATATTACAGTTGGTGGAAAGCAAGAATTGAAGACTTCCTGACAGCTGGAGACTATGAACTATGGACCATAGTGAACCAAGGTCCGTTTACTCCTACTAAACAAAATGCACAAAATGAAACAATTCCTAAGGACCCCTCTGAATTTGTGGCAGCAGATTTCAGAATGATGGAGAAGAATGCAAAGATAAAGAAAATCCTTATCTGTGGACTTGGTCCTGATGAGTGCATCAAAATATCTGCGTGCTCTAATGCAAAGGAGATATGGGATGCACTCCAAACTGCTTATGAAGGAACAAACCAAGTGAAGAGATCAAGGATAGAACTACTTATGAGAAACTATGAGCTTTTCTCCATGAAGGAGTTTGAGCCCATCCAGGACATGATGACTAGGTTTACCGTAATAACTAATGAATTGAAATCACTTGGAAAGGCGTTTACCTCAGAAGAGTTGGTCACCAAAATTCTAAGGATCCTTCCAGCTTCATGGGAATCAAAAGTCACAGAAATCCAGCAAGCCAAGGAGCTGGACAAAATCTCACTTGATGAGTTGGTTGGAAACTTAAAGATTCATAAAATGAGAAAGATAGAACTGCGAAAGGAAGAATCAAAGAGAGATAAGGCCTTGGTGCTTAAAGTGTCTGGGGAAGATGAATCCAACAGTGATGATCCTGACCTAGCAATATTTGCTAAGTTCAAGAGGTTTATGAAGAACTCCAAAAATGCATCTAAGAGAGAGACCAACGGTAAGCCTAAGAAGATTGACAAAACTAATTATGATGGGTGCTATAAGTGTAGCAAGCTATATCACATGATCAAGGACTGCCCAATGTGGGAAATTGAGTGGAGGAAAGAACAAGCTGAAAAGGAGAAACGGGAGAAGATGAGAGACAAAGGTTCCAACAAAGGAAAAATCCTAGGTAAAGGATTCGCTGAAGCAATGAAGCAGGTCTTCTTCGCAGCATATGAGGACAGTGGAAGTGATAAAGAGGAAGGAAAGGAGGATGAGACTATAAGTCTCTATGCTGTAATTGTTGAACATTAGGCAGTGGGGACAGAGCCTCCAGTACAGCTTGGAATGCACATTGGAAGACCTCCTCTATTTGATGGACATCACTATGATGAACGGAAGCTACGTATGGAAACATTCCTTCAAGCCACTGACTTTGACCTAAGGATAATCGTCAGTCATGGACCAATTCTCCCGACCTAAATGGATGGTGAAGATAAAAATTGCAACAGCAGAGAAGAGGAATACGATGATAAAGATTGTCAGCTAGTCTAGAAAAATGCTAATGCAAAGGACCTACTTTACAGAAGCTTGCCCAAAAATATTATCTACAAAGTGTCCTCTTGTATCTCTGCCAATGATATATGGAGGACCTTGGAAGCTGAATTTGGATTTGAAAACATCAAAGTGGCACTGATGGAGATTGAAGAAAGCCAAACAGAAGAAGAAGTTACTTACTGAACAGATGCATGGTGAGACCTATCCTTGAGAAAACTCCGTATGAGTTACTTCGAGGGAGAAATCCCAACATCACTCACCTAAGAGCATTTAGGTGCAAATATTTTGTGCATAATAATGGAAAAGAAACTAAGGTAAGTTTGATGACAAAAGTGATGAGGAAATTTTCTTGGGTTACTCTCCACATAGTAAGGCCTATAAAGTTTTTAATAAAAGAACTATGTGTGTAGAAGAAAATATTCATGTTATTTTTAATGAATCTAACAATTTGGCTAAGAAAGGTCTGCAGGATAAAGACTATGACATCGGACTCACTGGTGATGAAGCTCCTAAGGGATCTGAACCTCAATATGAAGTTTGATCGGGAGACCACAAGGAAATTGACAGTGATAATGAGGAACAAGAAGAAGAGAGAGCTACTCTGACTGCTAACCAGACTGACGAAGTTATACCTACTGAACTTGTTCCTTTGGGTTACTCCTTGGGTGAATCATCTCTGAGTATGCAGATCAGGCTATGAAAACATCAAAGTTCACATCCTCTTGTAAACATCATCTCTAATCCAAATGCAGGCGTGCAAACCAGGTCATCTCTGAGAAATCTATGTGCACTCACAACATTTCTCTCACAGGTTGAACCTAGACCATCAAGGAAGCTCTAAAGGATTCAAATTGGATTATAGCCATGTAAGAGAAGCTAAATCAGTATGAAAGAAGCAAGGTCTGACACTTGGTAAAAAGACGCAAGAACAGAACTATCATATGTACCAGATGGGTGTTCAGAAACAAGTTGGATGAACAAGGAAATATCACAAGAAACAAGACCAGGCTGGTGGTTCAGGGATACAATCAAGAGGAGAGCATTGACTATGATGAGACATTTACACATGTAGCTAGAATGAAGCTATAAGAATGCTAATAGCCTTTGCTGCACACATGGAGTTCACCTTGTATCAGATGGATGTAAAGAATGCATTCTTGATGGTTATCTGAAAGAGGAAGTATTTGTTAAATAACCTCCTGGTTTTGAAAGTGAAGACTTCCCTAACTATGTGTTCGAGTTAGAAAGAGCCTTGTATGGACTGAAACGGGCTCCAAAAAGCTTTGTATGAAAGACTCTCAAAATTCCTCTTAACCAACAACGTTGTAAGAGGAAAGGTGAACAACACTCTGTTTCTAAGGAGTAAAGGCAAGAATGTTCTGATTGTGCAAGTATATGTGTATGGCAGTATCTCTGGGCTACTAATGAAGCAATGTGCAAGGAATTTGTTGAGATGATGGGGAATGAGTCTGAAATGAGCATGATGGGTGAACTATACTTCTTCCTAGGGTTGCAAATCAAGCAAATACCTATTGGAACCATGATACATCAGTAGAAATACATCAAGGAACTGCTGAAGAAATTCAACATGGACTCCTCTAAGTCCATTGACACTCCCATTGCCATTGAAACAAAGCTGGACCTTGATAAAGAAGGGAAGAGTGTTGAGAAAAAACTATATAGAGGAATGATTGGGTCACTGTTGTATCTCACAGCAAGTAGCCCTTACATTATATTCAGCGTGGGACTGTGTGCTAGATTTCGGGCAAATCCCAAGGAGTCTCACCTGAAGGCTATCAAGAGGATACTAAGATATCTCAAAGGGACTCTTGACCTGTGCCCATGGTATCCCAGAGGGTATAACTTTGATCTAGTTGGTTATGTTGATGCTAACTATGCAAGTTTTCATGTTGACAGGAAAGGCACTTCAGGAACAACACATTTTCTAGGTTCTTGTCTGGTGTCTTGAGGAAAAAAGAAGAAAAACTCAGTGGCCTTATCCACAGCTGAGGCTGGATATATGGCAGCAACATCTTATTGTGCTTAGTTGCTGTGGATAAGACAATAACTAAGGGACTATGGTATTTTTATTGATAGTGTTTCCATTTTCTGTGACAACACTAGTGCTATAAACATTACTAAAAATCCCTGTCAGCACAAGAGAACCAAGCACGTTGACATTAGACACCACTTTCTCAGAGACAATGTTGAAAAAGGAAATATCTCAGTTAACTTCTGTAAAACTGAAGATCAAATTGCAGATATTTTTACTAAAGCTCTGAGTAGGGATCACTTTGAAAGGAACAGACTGGAACTAGGTCTAATTAATACTTCCAACTAGTTGAACCCCAATGATTGGCTAGAAAAAGTATAATTAGATGTAGATAGTCAAGTACGATGTGTTTGATTCAGTCTCATGCTTGTATTAAGCATACACACCTACTTAGAAAAATCTGGCTGATAACTATGTTGTATGATACTAATGTATAGTGCTGAAGCTTTATTGCATAAACAAGTAAGGAGTTGCTAAGGAGTTGATTCTTCGACTCTGGTACATACCATCTTGTCTTAATTCACTGGGACTTAATATCCTAAATTATTGCTATGCTCAAACTTCCAATCCTGTTAGCATCACTTCTAATTGTAATCTAGTCAAAGAATAAGGGGAAATCCTAAAGCAATTAGAGTTTAGTTACTCCTGAAATCCTAACAGTCAAAGTAATCGTTATAGAGTCCCGTTGGAACTCAAATTCGGTTACCCTCTCTCATCCAGTCAAATAAGGAGTAACGTCTTTAAAAGC